TATCGTATATCGTAGCCTCAATTTCATGTTTTTAGCTGACACCAAATCACCTTTCTTCCCCACTTTGATGCTCAGTTTAAACTTCAGCGGGTCATCTTAACCCTGTCTACACACCTAAATGCAATGTGATTGTCTGATTAGACCTTTGTGTTAAGAAGCTGTTGAACAGGTTTATCTAATACAGTGTCCAGTGAGTGCAAATAGATGGAAAATTAGCAGATATCAATTTAAACCAAGAAGAACGATCTTGCTTGTTATATTTGTTCGACCGTCAAATCCCTCAAGTCTCTGCTTTCTTTACTAGTCCATTTCACTCAGAATCATGCAAGACGGGGAAAGTAAAGTAAAATGTTACCACTTGATTAATTAGCGCTATTACGAACTCTACAAGTCTGACTTTGCTGATCACATCCAATGGAATCAAAGAAAAAGATTCACGTTTTAGGCATGAGACTTATTCACATTATTCTTCATAAGCAATTAATTAAGTTAGGCCTCTAGATCCCCCCCACCACCTCCCACTGGGGTTTGATTTGAACATAGTAAAGGCTTTAATCTAGTGACAGGATAATATCCTGCTGCTGCTCATCAGAACACTTTACACCCTTTCAGTGTTATGTAACATGTGGAAACAGGTATGTATCTTAAACCCTATGCTGGGGTTAACCCTCTCAGGCTCAAATTAACTCTTTTGTTGCTAATGCACAACCAAGTCCTGCAGTGGTACTTCTGAGTAAAACAAACTCATAAAACATGTATGTGGGGTAATCAGGTTGTTAGTTTTTAACTGTTGCAAATCGGCAACGCCTGCCTCGAGAGGGTTAAAACAGTGATGGCAGCAGGGAGAGAAAAAAAAACATATGTTGGAGTTTTATGTTACTGGGCTATTCCAGTGTTCACAGCCTGCACTGATAACAAAACACCTGACACACCTCAGCAAACAACAATCTTTGGGCTTCGGTGCATAAAAGGCAAACATTCCTATTATCACCATTTTCTCACCACTCATATGACTCGTTATTCCCTTAGGCAATCCTAAGAAAGACTGCGGGACATCTCCTAGCCTGTTTCGATACAAGCATGAATCCTCTGCTTAAAAAAAAAAGCTATTGTTTCTATAATCCACTGACTGGCCCCTTTTAATCTTCCATAATGACATGACTATAATACACGAAGAGCTGAAGAGCAACCCTCACTTCCAATGATAAAATCAGCATTTGGCTTTTTCCAGAGGAATCAGTCAAAGAGCTGTCCGTGGTGCTGAAACTGAGCAAACCTTGCAGCTAAGCCTTTGCAAACATCATTCACAGCGACTACCGAGCTCTCCTGATAAACTCAACATACTGATCTTGAACATCCTGGTTATTTTCTGTAATAGCTTTCTATGCCATCCTATGTGGATTTGTCCCATCAGCAGAGTCATCCGACTAACAATGAATTCAGTAAGAAAATTTCACTTTACTGAAAGAAATCTGCAGCACACAGCTGCTGCTTTTTCATTTTAGTGACCGTTTTTTCTTTGACTTTCTAAATCACCTCATTCTGTTTTCCTCCAACGTTCAGTGTATGAACTGTTTTTCTTCCTTTAACATAAATGCTACGCTACACATGTAACAATACTGGATTTACCCCCACCCTCACGGTTACTGGGTACTAACAGGTCTCACTCAGCTGGCACTGCAAGTGTTTGGCAACGAAGACGAGTAGAGCTCTCTTGCTTTGTCTGAGATAATTAGACCTGTGGGAGCCTTAATTACTGACTGGGAAATGGCCACAAATGAGAAAGAGCGGATGAGCTCAAATTCATATGCATAATCATGTCTTGTTTACTGCCAGACAGGCAAGCCAACGATTCGGCCGGGTCAACATGGAGAGAAATAAATCTGCAGAAGGCCAGATAGCTCATTTATTGTCAATTAAAAGACAAACATTAAACAATTTTTTACTGCAGATCAAATACCCTCAGATGTCTGGCCTGGATGAAACTACAGTGGCATCTATCAGTTTCATCTGTTTCATCACTGTTTGTTGCCATAAAGAAATATCGAAATAAGTTTCCCATTTATTGGTTTAAAGAGGAAAAGTAAAAAGAAGCAGTTGCATCTACTTTAGTCGTGACAAGAAAATGGTTGGTGATGAAAGAAGCGATTAAAGAGAAATACTTCAAAGTACAAACGCATTGTGATGACTGTGCATCTTGATTTGTGCTGGCACGGTGCGTTAGTGTGTTTGTTATGATCATGTTTTTAGTTTAACCTCACTGCCAAGTAGAACTTCAATTTAGAGATTCATGAGTTGGGGAATCAGAGTTTAAACTGAGAGGAGACACACTGAACTGTAAGAAGCACCGTGAGCAATAACAGTAAAGGACAGACGATAAAGACTAACAGGTACGTTTGATTACTGCTCCTGTGCTCTTGCGAGGTTAGGACAGAATATCTCAAATGGTTTTAACTGTCTTTGTCACACCTACCAGACACGTAGCATCACCAAATCAAAATCTAATCCACCAGTGAGGAAAACTGTCTCTCAAACCCTTTTTGAAAGCATTTCTTTAACTGTGTAGTTGTTAGTTTTAACCTAAATCCTTTAACAGCTACATAGAAAAAGCTGTTTGTTTACGATCACAAGGGTCGAATGAACCTGTTCACTTATCTATCTCCCATTCCTGTTCTCTCTTTCCCCCTAAAATGACATCCAGTTCAACTGAGCAACAGACAAGCTGTAAACAGCCATTAAACTGATGCAGCAGTTTTCTGTATGCTGTTATTGGCTGTCTGAGATAACCATAAAAGACACATTGGAGGTGGGGTTCGGCAGATTGAACCAGGAATAAAATCAATAGCACCCTGTTTGTTTTTATTGACATAAGAATTATGAAATAGAAGCAGTTTAATGAAAGCTGGACTTTCTGCAAGGCACCAACACAATTCACTATTAGAGACGGGGAAATAGAAAAAAGATAAGCTGTGGCACGTGTAAATGCAGCGTATTGAAAAAATGTGTTTAGTCAGAAAACACGATGGGTCAGTGGGGGAGGTGAAGCAGAGGACGATCAGGAGGATGGGAGAGCCTGAGCTACGTCACTGCAGCTGGACGAGGAAAGCTGGCAGCCCAAAAGCGCAGCAGGCCACAAATTTTCACGAGACGCCAAAGACCGCAGTTCCTACAAATCACCTGCTTGGCATTGAAATCCACCACCTTTGTGTAATAAAGTTTAAAATCTCATCATTTTTCTAAACCATTGCTCCTTTGGGTAAAACAGCATAATAAGGTGCAAAGCTGTTTCTATGACAACAGATGCATGAGTGCAGCACAGCGTGGCCCAATTGTGAGGGTGAAGAGATCAATTTAATAGCTATTACTGGGAATAAAAAGGCTCAAAAGCGAGGAGTTACATTAGTAATAAGATGCCAGTAGCAGATATGAATGTTTAGCTCACTTTAACTTAATGTGCTTTTCATTCCAGACTTTTATTCTGAATTTTGAGCTAAGTTTGCAGGTAGATTTGCCAGAAATAAAATGTTCATTCAAACAGTGCACTTACTATAATCTACAGCAGCGGTTTCTTGTTGTATTGTGTTGTGTAGAATAGCAGTCGATGCTTTGCAGTATACTAGTGTCAGCACCGGTTGCTTTTGTACTGTTAGTTTAGTGTTACAACTATAATCTCCATATATAACTGCAAGTTCTCACCTTTATTCAGAAACATCTGAACGTTTTTGTAATGAATTCCTTTATTTTTACAGCAGGTACGGTGTAGAATACACTTACAGGTAAACAGCAGGTCAGCCTCACCTACTACCATTTAAGATGGGGATTATAGAGCCCATGTGGTGAACTAGGTAGACCTACAGAGCTATGCCTAACAGATGGATCCTTTCCCTCTGTGTCCAGTGGGATAGATGGTATTTGTCTTGGAATACCAAGGCCTTGTTGAATGTTGGGGTGAGCTGGCTCGGAGCCACAGTGTGCATACACTATGCCCTTGCTTAAGCAGCAAATACTGCTGAATCACACAGTGTATGTGTGTGTGGGGCACATCTTGGAACCCATTAAAAAAAATCTTCAGATCCAGCGAAATACAAGAAAGCAGGAGCAGACTGACAGATAGAAGCACCATCAGTGCTGTCTGCATGCAGTAAGCTTCATTTACAGCATTATAAGCACGGGCAGACAGATGGATGAGCTGAGCTGGAAGGGCTCAAAGCTCAGGTGGACTCTCATTCTGTGTGTGTGTGTGTGTGTGTGTGTGTGTGTGTGTGTGTGTGTGTGTGTGTGTGTGTGTGTGTGCGCAAGGTCACACAGCAGTCTTGCATACTCCAGATTCTGTTCCCTTCCTGTGTTTTGTATCATCAGTACAGCAGTTGTGGCAGAATGAAAAAGCCTTGCATGTTTGCGAGGCTAAAGCCTCTTCGCTGACACATACACACAGCGGGCATCATCCTGCACCCTTCCCTGCTCAGGATTAAATAGCCTTTGGGCAACAAAATGGGAGCCTTGCTACAGAAACAACACCTCCACCAAGCAAGCTGTGACAGTGCATGCTGCACAGGAAGTCAGCTTCCAAACTAACCCTGCCTTTGTCACAGATGTCAGTGGATTTACAATGAAAATTTTCCTTTAACCGAAGTCGTTCAACAACAAATCGGGAGCGTTTGAAAACTTACATCAAGCACGGGGATCATAACAAGATCATAATAAGTCATTGTAACTTGAATATGTGGTTCTTGAATGCATCACAAGGTAGTTAACAGATAAACTACTCTGGGGATTTATGAAGGCCTAACAAAATAATCTGCCTCACGGTGTGCTCGAGGCTTTGAAACGACAGAAAGTGCGTTGAATGCGCGTTTAATTTGAAGCTTTCGGGTCTAAGTGAAGGCTTTGTGTATTTAAACCTGGCCGGGGGGGATGGGGACTTAGATGTAAGAGCTCCTTCTTGCGCGGTGCACCGGAGGCGCGCCAGCATCCACTACAGCCTGGAAAAGCCTACTTACTTCCCGACGAAGTTCTCCAGCACCGAGCTCTTCCCGGCGCTCTGTCCTCCCACCACGGCGATCTGCGGCAGGTCCAGGTTTGCGTTTTGCCCAATGGCCGAGAAAGCATCCTGCATGCGGTTCACCAGAGGAATCAAATCCTCCATTCCCCGGTTCCCCATCTTTGCGAGAGGATGATGGGCTAGCTTCCTTGACAGAACAGGGACGGATCTATGGCTTTATCTTCCTCTGCGCCCCTCCTCACCCCCCTCAGAGCGTTCAGAGGGCGTTCTAGTCTGCGCGCACTCACCGGCTCACTTCTCGCTCTGCTTCCTCATTTACGTGCTCTTCGGTGTGTCAGATCATCTCAAGCCAGCACTCTCTCCAACACTCTCCTCTCCAAGCACCGCAGGGGGGGAGGAGGAGGATGAGCTCTTGTATTTTACCAGGAGATCCCTGCAGTACTCCACACCCACCCCTAGGTGGTGACACTGGTAGATTTCTCTCGCATAAATAATTTGCAATTTGAAAACAAAACTAAAAAACCAGAGTATTTTTCATATTAAAATTAATATTTTTTAACTCACCTGAGCGAATTTGAATGCCCTTTTATATTTATGTTGTGTTTAAATTTGTGATTGCTCTCATTTTCAATTATGAAAATGTACATTTTATTACCTTATTTTTTTGATACTTTATTAAATATAATGATAATAATAACAACAACAACTTTATTTGTGCAGCTCTTTTTAACATACAGTTACAAAATGCTTCAGTGGTTGGTTAAAATCACACATTAAGTATATGTTTACACAATTAAACACACAAACACATGACTGCATAAACACATATTAGAAGAACAAGAGCCAAAAACAAAGAGTGAAAGACTAGGCGAACACTGTCCTATAGAAATTAATTTTCAGCGGTGGTTATTTGCAACATAGCTAGATTGAAAAATATAACGAGCTCAACCTACAACCAACATGACAGTATACAGTAATGTAAACAGTGCCACAGGTGCTAAGTTGTATTCTGCTATTTAATGTTCACCTCTAAAAAGCTTTATTTCTATTAACTATGTCGCATTAGCTAATAGATAAAATAATAACTGTAGAGTATAAAACAACAACAACAACAACAACAACAACAACAACAACAACAAATAAATGTATTAAAAACGACATTTCGAAGCCTGGTCATTCTACGTCCATCATGCGTTTTCAGTTCTCCAGGCAGCCACTAGGGGGTGACACGGTCCACCGGTTTGATCAGAGGTTATGGCTTCAGTTTTTGTGCAAGTTGCACCGTTGCTGTAAAGAGCGAGTGTTTAACTCTTCGGTTTGGTTTTACGTTGGCAATTAACACCCGGCGAGGTTTACGTCTCTGGGGGCAGCTGTAGGGAGCTAAATACGACAAAGCAGTCCCTACAGGAGAGGTTTGTCTTTGAGTTAGTTGAATGCTTTGCTAAGCTAACTTGTTTGGTTCAGTGACTGAGCGGCTATGGCTAATGTAGCGTTAGCATCGTTCATTTTATGGAAGGTGTAGCTACACTTCAGTTATCAACATAGGCTCGATATTGTGGGCATATTTAGAGTACCATTCTGCTTTCTCTGACAGCGTAGCGGCTAACATGCGGCTATCTGTATGAAGCGGAATGGTGGAGGAAATGAAAGTAAACTTAGCAAACCAAAAAGTTCATTATTGTTAGCTCCTATGCTAACGCTAGCTAGTTGTCATAATGAAATATGAGAGCGACCTGTTGTCTGACAGGAGGTGCGCACTGTCATTAATTGTGCCTTAACAACAAATAGTTGGTCTGATAGCAGAGCAACTAATCACGGTTTTCTTCCTCCCAACAAGAGATCCTCTGTCCTAAGAGGTGCCACACATTGACGGCTCTGACAACTCGTTGCAACGTAACGGATTAAATCAGAGCCCGTGATGTTCAATCCGCACATCCATCAGCAGCAACAGCAACAGTTTCACCAGCAACTGAGGCAACTACAGCAACTTTTCCAGCAGCAGCAGCCTCCGCCTCCCCCGCCGCAGCCGCCTCCCGGACACCATGTGGCCCATCACCACCAGACACCCCGGTAAGCCTGTTAACTCAAGACCGGGGATAATGTAAGGCCCTCTGGATGACCTGTATGCTAACTGCCCGTCCCAACACCTGTTACGGCTACATTTATCATTTCAGATATGTAATTAGTGGTCTGACAGTATTTGATGTTTATTTTGACTGCTGCCTTCCATTGTTATTTAGATTACTCAAAGGTTATGTGTTATTATCCCTCTTTTACGCGTTATATAAAACGTTTGCTGCAGGATTTCTGACCTCAGACCAATAACACAAAATCACATCACATTTGTTATGGCATCTTCCACAGTCAACCAGCCTATAATCTCATTACAGGTAACAGGTAATCTAATTACTTGTTCACTGTAACGCAGTGCACAGATTTGAAAGCCATATAAAGGCGATAAAGCTGTCTTATATAAATAAGCCTTTAAAATATATATACCGGTATATATCTGCTTAAATTTAACTCTATGTCAGTAATGTGTATAAAGAATTCGCCTCTGTGTGTCAATCTTAGCATCCAGACACTTCCTGCTAAACCTTGCTGCAGATTGTTTGGTATTGTTTGTCTCCTGTTAAGTCAGCTGGTGCTCAGAGAAGGCATTGATAATTTTGGATCTTTTTTCATAAATATATGTTGTTGTTGTTGTTGTTGTTGTTTTGGGGTTTTTTTCCCTTTTAAATTGTGAGGTTTTAAATTGCATTTGGTCAATTCAGCAGCAGACGTTTCTCATCGGCAGTGGTTTTCACAAGTGTTTGTGAGCTTAAGCAGTGATTCCACTACATAATCGCGTCTGTTTTGAGTCCAGGCTCTGAAGATTGTGGCCGTTAATACTGGTTTTTAGCCTAGTCCGTTGCACATGGAAATTGTCTTTGATTCTCGGGTGCTGGAGAGAGCTGGAGCCTATCCTAGCTCTCATAGGGTGAGAGGAGGGGTACACCTTGGACAAGTTGCCACATGATTCAAAACCAGGACCTTCTTGCTGTGAGGCAACGGTGCTCCATCTTGCTAGGCTGATTCTCAGAATTTTTTAATGATATTGTTTACTGTAGATGAAAGACTGGTTAAGTTCTGGCATGTTATTTTTATATCCAGGCGTGTTGCTACTTAATGTAATTAATTATGAGATGTTCAAGCACTTGGCTTTTACACTACACATCAAACTAAGAGCACGTATTCTTCAAAAAACAACATAGTTTCTCATAGTTTCTTTCTGCAGTTATCCATAAGATGTTGGTTTTAAACAATAAGCAAATTATGTTCATATATATATATATATATA